ATCTCATAAAAACCCAAAAAAGGCGCGAGGGGAGAAAAAGTGGATGTTATCTGAATAACATTTCCAGCTTAATTTTTTGGATCCGTCGTAAGAGACCGCAGCCTTTTTGATTAGACAGGTAGCCGAGGACAACATTCACGACACAAGAATTGTCCGAAACCAACTTTGGAATCTTATTTTCCCTGATATAAGAACTGTATATACCACCGGGTTTGGCGATATGTGAGGTTTCTATATTAAATTCCTCCAATCAGATTTTGCGCGTTTTCATTGGCCAACGGAGCGAATTTAAACGTTTGCCTTGCCTTGTCTTACCTTACCCTCCTTCATATTCGAATGACCACAGAAGAATCCAAAACTTTTTGGCACTGTGTGCCTTCTACTGGCTGGCCAAGTGTCATGGACATTGGTTTCTACATTTTTGAGGCAACAGGCATTTGTCTCAACGCATTTGTTCTATCTGGCCTCTTCAAGGCCAATCCGAACCCACGCACGAGTTTGATGCTTCTTCGCAGCCTCACTGTTTGCTGTCTGCTAACAGCGATTGTGAATTTTCTTGAGGATGTATACCCTTTCTCCTGGCGTTCAAACAATTATCACTTTGATCGGCTCGTTTGCATCTTTTGGAAAAGTCGTTTCTTTTACTGGATTTTTGTCGTCATGGGCACTCAATACCTCGTTTTCTTTTCGCTTGATCGTCTGGCAGTGATCGAGGAGGTAAAGTCTTACAAAAGCGCGGTAGAGCAGCACAGGATACTTTCATACCATATAACCGCCGTCGTCTGCGGGACCCTACTTACCGTACCCCAGATTCTAACCGTAAACCTACAGGGCGCTACTTGTGATTGTGCTCCTACTCAAGTGAATATCCCGTTCCTTTCCGTAATCTATGCTCATGTGTATGTCTGGTTTGCTCTCATGTTCGTTTTGGTCTGCTCCCTTCTTTCTTTTGTCTGCTTTAAGCTGGTAAAAGCCATTCGTAACCCTTCTGGCCGTGGTCGCTCGGACGACCTCTGCTTGTTGACCCTGGAACCTCAGGCCTGCGTTAAGGGTGTTTATGCGGTGCCTCCGCTTGGTTGGCGTTCAGCCAGTATGTGCATACTACCACTAACGTTGAGTTATTTCCTTACTTTTGTCTACGACTGTACCTATCAGTTTCTCAGTGCCATCAATCTGACTACCTTCATTATAAATAGCACGCAACAGCAAGTTGGAGCCCTTTTATTGGTAGTCAATACGAGTCTTATTCCATGCATTTTGCTTTTTTACATTCCTGTTCTTCGTTCCTTCCTGCTGTTGGTTCTGCAAAAACTACATTTGCACAGTTGACAAACTCGCACTTAATTTGTGGGCACTTTTGTTCTGGTCCTTTACTCATAAGTACACTTGTATGGACGTCCCC